TATATATATACATACAAATTATATATATATATATATATATATATATATATATATATATATATATGTGTGTGTGTGTATATATATATATATATATATATATATATATATATATATATATATATGTGTATATATATATATATATATATATATATATATATATATATATGTATGTATATATATATATATATATATATATATATATATATATATATATATATATATATGTATATGTATATATATCTTAAGTTTTCTTATAAATTTCCTTATTTCAGGCCCAAAAGCATAAGGAGGAAAAAGCTCTTGAAGCTATATATGGAACCAAAAAAAACCCTAAGGTATGTATATCTCTCATTTATTTGTTATTTCTTTGTATATTAATTTAGTTTATAATTTGACCTTATTTAGTTTTTTATAAGAAACTTTGCCATGCATATGAGTACAGTTCATATCTAGGTCTATTTTTAACTGCATTATTTACTATTTCATTCATATCATTTTTATACACACTTACCTTTAGTTGCATATATATGTGTGCATGTGTGTGTGTATCATATATAAATATATATGTTATATATATATAAATACATATATATAAATATATATATATACCATATATATATGTATATATATATATATATATATATATATATATGTATATATATATATGTATATATATATATATATATATATATATATATATATGTATATATATATACATATATATATATATATATATATATATATATATATATATATGTATATATATCATCATCATCATCATTATCATCATCATTGGGGAGCTAACGCCGGTAGGGGCGCATAGCCCTGTCCACCCTTCGCTTCCATCTACGAGGGTCTCTCATGGCGAGCCGCCAGGCCAATCTCTAGTTCCTCACGACAGGTTTCATCGATCTGCCCAAGCCACGACCTTTAAGATCAAGGAATACGGTTTGCATGCTTGGGTTTGAGTTTGTTAAGTATTCTGCAAAGCAGTGCTGACTACTATGCCCTGGGAGAAATCCAAATTGTCTGGGGGATAACTTAGCAGTTATGCGATACATGAGCCTGTTCAGAATTATTCTCTCAAGTACTTTGCACAGACAGGAGGTCAGGGAAATGGGTCTGTATTTGTCAGTATTGGGTTTGGGTATAGGAATGATTAAGCTTTTAGTCCAGGAGCTTGGGAGGATTCCTTGTGATAGGCTGAGTCTATACAGGTGTAAAAGTGGGTTGCCTGGCACCTGAGCAGTGTGGCGAAGGACGCTGTAAGTAATGCCGTCCTCGCCTGGGGCGGTTGCCTTACCTTTCAGAAGGGCATTGCTTAGTTCCCTCTCGGTTATTTCGACAAAGTCAGAGGGGTCAATGGCAGCACAGGCTATTGCTATATTAAAATTTCTATCTATTTTCGACTTGTTGAGCTGATTTTTTATCCCTTGTGGAAGTGATTGTAACTGAGAATTTCCAGCCCACTGCTCTAACAGCAATGTTAGCCTGTTCTTGTGGACTGTGGAACTGCGGTGTTGTGGGAGCTTTACCTGTTAGCCTATTAATTTTCCTCCATACGTCAGCTACAGAAGTTTGACTATTGATACTTTGCAAGATTTTTTCCCAGTGTTTACTTGTTAGCTTTCAGAAACTGCAGAAGATTGTCTGTCGTCTTATCATCTTTATAACAATTAGCAAGCTCCTGAACCCGTTGATGTTCCTTGGCCAGAATTGGGTCATTGATCCACCTCGGTACCTGGGAGGCCTGGGGCCTCTTTTTCTTTGAGAGTTTTCGTGAACAGACCCATGTGTTATAGTAGTCAGTGACAACTTTGATTAAATCCTGAGAAAAATTTTCTACTGTTGTTACTTCATAGGTGTTATACCAGTCATAGACCCGTGCCTTGAAGTGATGCTCCAGGCCCGGTGGGATGATTATTCTGAGCCTGGGTGATTCAGGGGCTGAGTCGCTGTCTACAGTATAGTCTGTTCGTATTGCAAAGTGGTCACTAACTAACTCTCGCACCAGTGAAGTACAGATATTACCATGAACTAAATTCTTGCCAAATACATAGTCTAACCTGCCACCTCCTAAATGAGTCTCTGTTTCTGTGTCGTATACTGTTAGTGATCTACTACTGATAAAATGTTTGAATTCTTCCCCATTGCTATTACGTTGTTTGTCTCCAAAGTGCGGATGCCTTGCATTGAGGTCGCCCATACACAACGTGCTTTGGTTGCGAAAATTGGGGAGAGAGCTAGCCAAAAATTTGGAGTATCTGGCATATACATTATACAGTGAAAAATACCCAGTGGCAGTCTGAATTTTTAAGTGATGAAATTGAACATCAGTGTTCTCGGATTTTTTAACTAATTTATGTGGCAGTGTTACCTTCACATATGTCAACAATCCAGTCATGGCTGTATTCACATATAAATAATATCCCTGAATTGCAGGTGCTATCTTCATCTTAGCAGCAGCAGCAAAAGGTTCTTGCACGCAAATAACATCAGT